GATCATAATCACGGAATAAAAATCCGGAAGCCTTACAGAGAAGTCTACTCGTTTAAATTAATTATTTAAGTTTTAATTATAACTTACAAAATTAACCAACCGACAATGAGCAGACTTAAAGTAACAGTTGAGAAGATTTCCCTGGAAGTCATATGGTGGAAGATTTACGAGAAGTCCTCTGTAGAAAGTGATTTTTTTGTTACCCTATTCAGTCAATAACAAAACTAACTTGTTTATCCGGGAAGACTTCCAAGGAAGTCTTTTTTTTTTGTCAACAAAGAAAAGTTGGAAAACCTCCATAGAAGTCTTCTCTAAAAAACACACATTGAGTCAACTGAAAAACCAACTTATGCTTTGACCAGAAGACTTCTATGGAAGTCTTCTCTGACAAGAAGAATTCTACGAAAGTCTTCTTCACGAACAGATATGGGAAACAAAAGATTTCATACCTTAAACCAATGAGATAACTTGCTTAGTTCTCCAAGCACACATAAATTCACCAAGAAAGAAACCCAGTCGTTAATGACGAAGGATCATGAGCTTCAACGGCTATATGAACCTTACAACCTTTAGAATAAAAAATCTTGGGATTTTTTGGAAAAAAAAGAGAAAGGGAGAGAGATGTAGTTTGTATGCAAAAGAAATGAGATAGGCTTACTCAAAACTTGATTTTTAGATGCATTAAGAGCTTCACATTATTTGTTCATGGTTATTTGGTGAATTGATGGCAATTGCATTTTTGTGAATACTTGATGAAGATGAAGATGATAGAGTAAAACACTAATTTTCAAAAGAAAAAAAAACAAAAAAATGGAATTTTTGTGAATAATCGGAACTTCCATGGTGAATAAGACAAGTCAAAGTTCCAAAAAAATCATAATTTAGTTTTGTGTTTGACTTTAAGTTGTAAGTCATCTGAAAGAAGCACAAGATTTTAGGGGCGATTTCAATTTTACTACAAATTTGATATCAGATTTTAACTTCACCCTTAAACATAACAATTTTATAAATACCTTATGAAAAAAGACTAAACTAAGAATAATTTATAGAATTTTATAACTACAACCCACTCCCAAAAATATTAATCTTTAAGACAAATGGTAAAGTATATTTAAATGAATGTATGTTTCAAAAGTGGTAGACAATTTATGATATTTGTAACAATTTCTCAAAATTTTAAGAGAATTATAAAAAAATCTTAAGTTTTTTGGATGAATATAAAGAGAAATTGAGAGATATGTAGTTTATGTGCATAAGAAATGAACTTGGGTGACACTGATTCTGTCTAAGGACAGGGTGTTGGAAGCTTTAAAAAATTTCAAGACCCATATCTGCAACCATTTCAATGCTAAGTTGAAAATTCTTAGGTCAGATAATGTGGAGAGTATACAAGTCAGGCATTCAAGCAATATCTTGCTCAACATGGGATTACTCACCAGACAAGCTGTCCTTACACTCCCCAACAAAATGGAGTTACTGAGAGGAAGAACATTCACTTGATGGAGGTAGCAAGATCAATGATGTTTCACACCAATGTTCCAAAAAGATTCTGGAATGACGCTGTGATGACTGCTACTTATCTGATCAATAGGATCCCAACTAAAGTCCTTGATGACCTGTCTCCATTTGAGGTCCTAAACAAGACCAAGCCATCATTGGATCACTTTCGTGTGTTTGTGTGCCTGTGTTTTGTGTTGATACCCGGGGAATAGAACAACAAGCTTGATGCTAAAAGCTCAAAGGATATGTTCATTGGGTACTCTCCAACTTAAAAAGGGTATAAGTGCTATGATCCAGAATCAAGAAGAGTTTTTGTCTTAAGGGATGTGAAATTTGTGGAGTCCAAAAGACACTATGATGAGAAGAGTTGAAAATTCTTAGAGATTTTTCACATGAACCCTCTGATAGGGCAACAACTTGAGAATACTTCTGGAAAGTCTTGAAATTAGTCAGCCAAAGGAGAGTGAGGAAACCAAGACACACCCCACTCCGTAAGTAACTGAGTCTGTCAGCCAAAGGATATAAGCAATCCATCATGATCATGAGGGGGTGGGGAATCAACTTGAATTACAAGAAGATTCAGCAGAAATTCATGATCAAGACGAAATGCATGAAGAAGGTTATGCTCTATCAAGTGAAGATACAAGAACCAGAAGAAGAAAGGGAGCAAAAGCAGCAGATTCAAGTCTTGAGAAGAAGTATAAGAGTGAAGAAACCATCAAAGTGGCTCGACTCAAAAGTATACTTCAATAGCAATGTAGTGGTTCATCCAATAAGTGCAGTATGCTATGTTGCTCAGTATCTAGAGGATCATCAAGTCTTCATCAGTGAATTGGATCACGAATAGATACAGAGATCACATAAAGAAGCTATGCAACATGAGTTGAGAAAATCAGTTGGAGATGAGGTTGGTGCCATGAAAAAAATAATACATGGTTTGAAACTGAGCTCCCTAAAGGCAAGAAAGTCGTGAAAAGTCGTGTGTTATATACCATCAAGTATGGAGCAAATGGGAAACCAGAAAGGAAAATACAAGACTTGTTGTAAGAGGATACACTCAGGTGTATGGAGAAAATTATCTAGGCCTTTACACCAGTGGCCAAGCTGCATACTATAAGGATTATCCTATCCCTTGCGGTTAACTTTGAATGGGATATATGGCAAATGGATGTGAAGAATGCCTTTCTTCAAGGAGATTTGGAGGATGAAGTGTATATGCAACCACCACCAGGCCTAAAGGACATGGTTAAACCAAGAAATGTTCTTAGGTTAAATAAGGTGATCTATGGCTTAAAGCAATCTCCAAGAATCGGGTACCATAAGCTGAGTACAACACTAAATGGAAGAGGGTTTATAAAATCAGAAGCTGATCATACTTTTTTCACCCTCACAAACAAACAAGGAAGTGTGGTGATTTTGATCTATGTAGATGATATCATCATCATCAGAGGAAGTGACAAGGAATATATCATTGCAACCAAAGCTTTCTTAAATCTACTTTTGATATTAAAATTTCGAGTGAGCTAAAATACTTTCTAGGGATAGAAATATACCGCTCTAAAGACGGTCTCTTCTTATCTCAAAAGAAAGTACATACTTGATCTGTTAAATGAGGCAGGAGAACTTGGAAGAATAGTTTCCAAAACACCACTTGAAGAAGGGTATCAAGTCTTGCGTGAGGGGGAGTTTGAGGATAAGCCATTTGGAGACTCCAAGCTCTATAGGAGAATGGTTGAGAAGCAGCTATATCTAACCATTACAAGACCAAATATCTGCTTTGCTGTAAACCATGCCAGTCAGCATATGCAATCTCCTAAGGTTTATCATTGGAAAATGGTTGAGAGGATCTTGAGATACTTGAGAGAACCGCCTGGCCTAGGTGTTTGGAAGGTTTGCAACAGAAGCACTAAGGTTGTAGGATATTGTGCTGCTGATTGGACTGGAGACAAAATTGATAGAAGATCAACTACTGGTTATTGTACCTTCATTGGAGGGAACTTGGTCACATGGAAAAATAAGAAGTAGAAAGTGGTCTCTTGTTCAAGCGCTGAGGTAGAGTACTGACCAATGTGGAAGTTGACTAGTGAACTCATACGGATCAAAAGATTACTAAAAGAGTTGGGTATTGAGATCAACATGCATTGTGACAACTAGGCAGTAATACACATTGTATCTAACTCAATTTTTCATGAGAGAACCAAGTATATAGAAGTGGATTATCACAAAGTAAGGCAATCTGTGGAGAAGAAGATCATTCTACCTTGCTACACGAGAAGTGAAGATCAACTTGCTGATATTTTCACCAAAGGAACAAACACAGAAAGCCGTAAATTTACCCACTCTTAATGAGAGATGTTCTTCATGTTTCCAAGCTTGGTCATTATAAATGATCAAGCTTGAAGGAAAATATTGAAAAAAATAATTAAAAAAAGAAGAGTTGAAGAAAAGAAAATATTACAGAAATAGATACATATCCATGGAAACTTTTCCACACAATCATTAGAAGTAAACAAATGAATTTAAAGTTTGAATCTAAATCTTAGAGTCCTTTGGAAATTGTCCTCTTTAGTATTTGTTTATTCATTTCTTTTCTATATTTTGAGTCTATATATATTCAAATATATATCAATAATAAATGAATATATATCAATCTAATCTATTAAAAGGTGAGTACAAAAAAGAAATAACACTTAGTTTTCCTCAAAAATTACAATAGAATGCCACTAAAATTAAAACAGTGTAATTTTGTTCTTATATGGGCTTAAATATAAGTTTAAGATCCATTAATTTAAAATCAAAATCAAATTGCCCAAAATTAAATTGTCCAATTCAATTTTAAAACTAATTTTAAATCAAAATCAAATTTCCAAAACTAAATTGTCCAATTCAATTTTAAAAATGGTATTTTTTAATAAAATTGCTAGAGATCTTATTTTTGTGAATCTTTTTAATTGTTGTTGTCTAAATAATTATTTTTTAAATAAAATATCTACGAAATCTAATTTTAAATTATAATTTCAATCACAAAATTTATAGTATAATTTAATATAATACACACAATCTAAAAAAATATTCTAATATTTTACATTTAATTATTTAGTTGATCAAGTAAAAAAAGTAAGATATAAAAAAATACAACTTGATAGTTATAAAAAAGACGCTAAACAAAATGAACAAGATACACCGACATCATAACTCAATAACCTATTAAATATAAATATAAATAACTTTTATAACTACTACAAACATATAATTATACAGAACATACATCCACGCGGGCGTGCGTGTCAAAAGCTAGTAATAAACTTAAAGGAAGTTATTCTCTCATTCTATCTTTTACACAATGAAATATCATTCTTTCCCTCTTTCTCGCTTATTCTTTATGTTCTTCATTCTTCAGAAATAAGCTTTCATGAAAGTCTTTCATTCTAGCACTATTTATGTCGTGATTGAACTCCACGTAATAGCAAGAAAAAATGTGAACAAGCGGTTAGTTTAGAGTCACATTTAACCTGCTAATGTCTGATGAAACCAAAATCGAAATACATGAAATCACAAAATCCGTCGAAACAAAATTGTTGCTCCTACAAACGAAGCATTCTAAGAATTTAAACATATAAAAGAACTAGTTTTCTTTTCCGTTTCAAACAAAGACCAGTTGTTGATTAATTCGCTTGTGCTGAACATATATTGATCTCTTGTTTTCCTTCCATACAAACATTAGATTCGATCACCCTTTTTGCTTCATCAACTCTTGTCTCTGTCACATTAGACTGCTTTTCTCTGTGATTCAGATCATAATTGCAAGTAGCCAAGTGATCCAAAGCCATGACTACATCTGAAATCACCGGCCTCATACCAGGCTGATCTTGAACACACATTGCAGCTATCGCAAGCGCTTGATACAATCCTCTAACTGGATAATCTCCTTCCATCAAGGGATCAACCATTTTCTTGAAATTCTTCCTATCTTTAAACAACGGACGCGCCTGTAAAATCATGTTAAAAGCTGTGAATTACGCTAACTAAACAAAAGTTCTAAAGTTAGAAATTTTTTATCATTACCCATCCAACTAGAGTCTGGTCTTTACGCGCTTTTGTTTTGTAAATCGCTTTCATTCCAGTGATAAGCTCCAAAAGGACAACTCCGAAACTGAAGATATCTGATTTGAATGTGAGTTGGCCCGTCATTGCGTATTCAGGAGCACAGTATCCGTATGTTCCCATGACTCTTGTGGAAACATGTGTTGCATCCCCGCTTGGTCCGACTTTAGCTAACCCAAAGTCAGAGAGTTTAGGGTGATAGTCTTCACGGAGCAATATATTCGAACATTTAAGATCGCGGTAGATCACAGGAGGCCTCATTGTATCGTGAAGATACTCTAATCCTCTCGCTGCTCCAGCCGCTATTTTCATCCGGGTGTTCCAAGAAAGTGGGGCTTTACCATTAGGAAGATCTAAGACCAAACAGAGAATTCAAAAAAGAATCAGAACAATCAATATCACACGAGTATAAATTTATAAAGAGAAGCAATACCAATACAAGTTGTTCTGTAATAGGCATATAGAGAAAGATAGTATAATCATACCATGGAGATGATCTTCGAGAGATCCTAGTGGCATGTACTCGTACACCAATAGTCTCTGAACACCTTGTGCGCAAAACCCTATAAGCTTTACAAGATTGGGATGGTCAGCGAGACTTAGTGTCATCACTTCCACCACGAATTCTCTAATTCCTTGAGCACCATTTCGATCAAGTTGCTTGATTGCAACAACCTATATATCAAATAACCATTCACTGACTGTAGAACCTCTGACTGATTGATTGGATTTAAAAAAAAAAAAAAAAAGAATATATATATATATATATATATATAAATATACCTGATTGATTCTCTCGATAAGACCCTTGTATACTTTTCCGAAACCTCCTTCGCCAAGAAAACAATCAGACCTGAAGTTTCCTGTAGAAACAGAGAGTTCTTCAAAGGTAAAAGTCTTGGCTTTCTTCCCTGAAACTTCATCTTCCACATTTGAATCCTTTGCATCCAAAGAAAACTGATCCTCCTCAGTAGTTGCCTCCTTGTTTGCATCATCTCCACACGGACTACCTTTAAGAAATGTAAACAACACATGAATCAATTCACAAACAAGAACTCATCTGTCTCGTCTAACTAATCATATATAACAAACGGTTCAAGAGGACGAGTAAACGATCACGGTACGCAATGTAGCAAAAATCGTATGATCTAAACCGAAATTTTAAAATCGAGATATCATAATGAATCGGCGTAAGAATTTCTCACTCGACACCTGAGCTAGGCGCGTTTGGGAATCTCCGTACGTAACGCTAAATCGATTCGGAAACGGCGTTTATGCAATGCAACAAAACCAGATGAAATAAATCGAAACGAATTGGCGTATGAATCGATACCTGAGCTAGGTTGTGTTTGTGAATCGCGATCTGCGCTCTTACGAACGCAGTTTACGTCGATTGTGAGCTTCACGAAATCGTTGTTGTTCTTCTTCGTCTCCGAGCGTTTGCTTGATTTCCCCGTGCGCCCGAAGCATCCCATGGCGGAATCTACGATGCTGGAACGGATTGTTATCTTTGCTTTGGGAGGAAGGAAGGGGAAGGGTTACGGAAAGGAAGGAGAGAGAGAGAGAGGAAAGGGCAAAAGTGAGGGAGAGAGAAACTTTAATTTTTGAACTTTTATAAATGATCTAGGTGAATATTCCTCTACGGGAAGGTGCACAGAAATTCCCATGTACAGTAAGATTATTTATTAATACTCCTCCGTTTTATTTTAATTGTCATTTTAGATTTTTGCACACAGATTAAGAAAACATTTAATTTTACATATTTTCAAGATAAAAACAAAATTACCTATACACTTAACAACTTCTCAACTAATAGAAAAATAAAATATCATATAATTTTGCCTCGAAATTCTAAAACGACACTTATTTTGAAACAAAATTTTTTCTCTAGAATGACAATTAATTCGAAACGGAGGGAGTAGTAACTATATACTATATACTTTTTTCTTCCGCATTTCGAAATGAAGGATATTTTCTTAATTATAAAAAAAGTTATGATTAAGGACTTTGGAATTGCTATATATTATATGTTATAAGTCATATTATATCAAAAGGTGAATACGTTTAAACTATTTAGTTTAGTATAATTTGCAAATATGACTCGAAATTTTATTTTAGATACAAAAATATATCCAAACATTAATAAAATATAAAACTAACCCAAAGTTCTTGTGAAATTATAATCAATTTCTTATGACCAAACAAAAACTCTGATTTATTTTTATGATTATAGCCCCATAAAATCTTATGAGTCTTCTCAGATATTGTAGATCCTCTCGAAGATGTCTAGGGAAGTTTTCTCATATAGTTGATCTTGAAAATAATTTATAAATTTTATAAAAAATATTTTGATAGGAGGAAAATTGAAATCATGTAATTATAAACAATTGTAAGTGAGATAAATTATTATATAACATAATTAAATTGTTTTCAACATAGATGCGTGAAAGTAGTGAGTCATGATATTGTTTGGTTTAGGGTTTAGCAACATATGTTCTAATATTGTATGTATTCTCAAGGTCAAATTTTGGAAACTTATTTTTTTACCTATATGTGTTTAGTTATGTGTATATTAAACACTTTTTAAGTTGAATTAGATTCTTATGAAGTGTTTAGTTAGTTAATTAAGTATATTGTTTATATTTAGGACCTAGACGACTTCGAGGAATCTTCTGATAAATAGTATTTACGGCCTAGACGACATCTAAGAAGTCTTCTGATAAATAGTATTTACGGATTAGAAGAATTCCATAAAAGTCTTTTGAATCAAAAATATTTGAATAAATGAAAAATGTTGTCTCCATATATAAATAAAAATTTACACATCATTTCTCTTCCTCTCAAATGAATGCAACAAAAATGTAATGTTTTTCACCCTAAAACTCTATAATCTCTTTAAACTTGAAAACACTAAACTTTATATCACTTTCTCAATTTTGTCTTATGTCTTTCTCACTAATGTATCTTGTTTTTGCAGGTTTTTAATCACATGGTTCTCATCTCCCACTCCTTTAAAAGTAGATCTATTAATTTTATATATGTATTTTTGTGTGTTCTATAAAGGTAGATCTATCTAATCGTTCATTCATTTTCTCTATTTAAGTCATCTGAACGTTTTTGGATATGCAGGTTTTTCAGATCTATATTTGGATATACATGTTTTTCAGATCTGGATCAGACGTTGGAAGACTTCTTGGAAGTCTTCTAACGGAGTCTTCTCCCATGTCTCCCTTTCGTAACATATCTGAACATTTTGTTAAGTTTTTATGTTTGTTTTTTCTTCATTTGGTAACCTCATGTTTCATAAAATTCTTACCTTTTTACAAACTAAAACTCTCCAACCCCACTCTAATCTCTTTGAACTTAAAAACACTAAACTTTGTATGAATTTTTTATTTTTGTCTCATGTCTTTCTCACTAATTTATATTTTTTTCTTGCATTTTTTTAATCAGATGGTTCTCATCTTCCACTTGGATATGTATTTCTCGTGTTCTATAAAAGTATATCTATATAATCTTCAGCTCACTTTCTCTTTTTCTAAGCCATTTGGTTCTCCTTCTAATGAGCCAAGCTTGATATCTTTGGTTTTCCTTCTTCTCTATATTGAATGATTCATGGGATGGGAGAGAGTAAGTCTCTCGTTATTCGCGGTGAACTGCAGTGTCTTTCCACGATTGGAGAGTTACCTTATACATTTGTCGAAATAACAGTAAGCCGGATTTAATCCAATTCCACTTCAGCTGGCCACTTGGATTTCTTCTTGCTTCCCCCACCAGCTGTCCTTGCTCATGAAAGAGATAAGTGGCTTTACTGTTTGTTATAGTGTTCTCTTCCATATCTTTCCTTTCTGGGCTAATAAGATTCGGGAAAAATAAGATATAGAGTATGTATATCCATTTCTTCATCTCTTTCTTACTTTGATTCTGGTCATAGCTCTTATAAGACAGGTAGGATAAAATTAATATCTGTAGTGCAAGGTTTCAGTGATCTCATGCTGGTGCCCTTATTATTTCACTAATCAAGAGAATCACTGGCTTCTTTAAGTTCAAAAGTGCAGAAAGTGCTCGTCACCCACTCCACTCTCTTCACTTACTTCCCCTCACTTCGTTTGAGGACTTGTTCAGTAACTTTCTCACCTAAAAGATAGCTCCTTTACAGCTGAAAAGAGGAAACCTTAACTTTTTACCTACCTATGAAAAGGAATATGACAAGTTTTACTCCATACTAGAAAGAACAAGGAACTCACATGCAGCACACCGCAAACAAAAAAGAGTCCTAGTTACAGATTAGAAGTTAGGGAGGAACCTTCCTTTCCCCTATCTTGTACATCAGTGTGCTCCACTAGGAATACAGCTAACGCATTACTCCCTAGCTAGTATTAGAACTACAAACTACCTTCACAGTAGTGTGCTATTACTAAATCATAGTAGCCTGGCTTATCCATCTCATCTCATATGCCTTTTATCTGCCTTCAATCGATTATTGTGCTATTGAACTCAACTCATGGGATTCCTATCTTAAATAAAGATCTCAACTCCAGTACACTACTCTTATAGTAGGAATGCATATTAGATTGGTTTTTATGTCACAATTAAAAACATACCAATCTTCTTTGTATGACCATTCTTCTGTTAAGAAATCGAGTTGAGAAAACCCTTGAAGGATGTGGTGAGTATCTAAGAGTTTTGTCAAATGGGATTTAATAGCAGACAAAACAGAAGACCTTGACTTATATGCATACTATAAAAGTAGAAGAAAACGGGAAATATCAGAAGAGTGTGCTGAAGGAAATAAATAGGATGCCACATTGCTACACTTGTTAGACTAAACCAGCACAGAGAGACAGAGAGGAATGAGGGAAATAGTGGATTGGAAACATAGTGAAGAAAACCGTCACCTAACGCATAAGAGTTATCCTTACCCACTGGTACATGAGAGTGCTAACTTAGGAATGGAAGAGAAGGAATACTAGCTAGTCATGCAACTGTCAGCCCCAGATCGGGGAGAAGAGGCCAGGGTTCACAAAGTACCGTTAGCCCAAATGAATCCTCAGACGAGGATCGATTTGGGATAGGAGCCTTGCCTCAATGATGGTGGAGTCCATTGAGAAAGCAAATGATGGTATAGCATTGAAAATCGAAATGAGACTAGGAAAGATGGTACGAAAATCTCGATAGCAGTTCCATGAACAATCCTTTGCAGGATTTCATTTTCTTTATAGTGGAAATGCCATAGAGCGCGAACCAAGATCTATAATACAAAAAAAAAAAAATCAGAATGATGAAGAAAAATATATTGTGATGTAAGTCTATTATTCCTTGCATTATAGGTGTGTAGCTGCGTCTTGAGATCCTAATTGCCATGGTTTCACTGCATCACAAAGAGAAATTGTGAGGGATAACCATTTTAGAACAATCATTTTCAAACTTCTTTAACTGTCCCCCCCCCCCAAACAAAGGGAGACTGATTCTGACTCTCCCAATTAAGGAAGAAAGAAATGACTGGTGCCGGTTGTTCCAACCAAGAAAAGCATGGGAGTCTTTGGGCGTAATATTCTTGTTCTTAATACAATATTTTGAGTTAGATGAACAAATCACTCTCCTCTAAGCAGCAGTCTTCTTATATACGAAACAAACATCCTTATAATACTACTAGGCCGCACCACACTGAATTATGAACTTTGCTCCTCCAGAAGGGTCAAGGAAGAATTCCATTCCTATCTCCTTTGTCTGGTTGAGAATGACTCTGAATATTCTATTACAGTACATAGGATTGGTCCCATTTTTGTCATGATTAATCCACGCCCTGTCTTAGAAAGCTAGCTTACTAAGGCAAAGAACCTTTGCTTCTGGTTTGGGGCACCGTAGCTCACCTTTCACTAAAACAAAGGTGGTGCAACCAGGTTAAGAAGTTGCTAACATGGATATCCCTGCCCTTCAGCGTCCCTTTTTCCGCAAATACATTGATTTATTCATTGCGAACAATCATACACAAACCTTGAACTGACCCTTCAACTGACTAGGCGCTTGGGAATTCTGAACCTCCCCTTTTTTTTGTGAGACCTACTTCCTCCTTGCTTGAACCTTTGCGAAGACTGTGGCACCTTTTGGCTTGTACTTCTCGAGGAACGCCTTATGCCTTACGAAAAGGAGATGCTAGCTCTTCATGTCTTCTAGTGGAGTAAGCAGAAGTGATCAACCTGGGAGCATTAGCCGATCTGGTACATCAATACATGTTCCTATGCCCATACCAATCTTGTCTAACTTGCTAACATCCCCTTCTCAAACCCGTATCTTGTTTGTTCTAGGTTAAGATAGTCGGGGAGAACCCACCTTAAGTAGAAGGTGTGATCCCCCTTGAGTAATCCTAATCCACGTTTCAATTAATCTATCTTAACAGATCAGTGAAGAAGAGATAATAAAGTTTCTAGTACCAGGTTTGACAACTCATGGGTTCCTCCAAAGGCGTTTCCTACCTAAAGGAATTCTTCAATATTCGTCAATATGGAAGGGTTTAACCTACTTCAAGCCGAGATCTACGCATATAAAAGGGGAACCCAAAACTTAG